ACAGACATACTTTGTTGACTGAATTTAACAAAACTTGTTTGGAGATATATAATTTCTCTCTCTTTCTCACCATTTCTTTTCTGTCTGATGTAACAAATTTAATTTCCAGTGGAGATTTGTATATTTTGTTTATTTAATAAACAGACTAACATTGTTTTTTAGAGCCTAGTTAGGCATTATTGTCACAGTTTTTGACCTTCTTTAACCTGCAAGATTTTCGTTGATCTTGTATTGATTCTTTTAATCCAGATGACCCATTACTTTTTGCTGCTTCAAGCCAACAAACTCGGACAGTGAAAGGTTTGATAAATTGAAAGAACTAAAGAAAAACTGTTTCTGTTTTAGCTTTCAGGTCGACATTTGCTTTAGACTTTAAGAAGATTAGATGCTGCTGTCTTCTTTTCTGCTTTTTGTAAAAAATTTCCTTCATCTTGTTTTGTTTCAGAATTTGTTTTTTTTTTTTTTGTTTTTTTTTTTTTTTTTTTTTTTTTTTTTTTTTTTTTTTTCCTCTCTATTCTTTGATTTTGGTGTATCATGTTCATGCATTGATATTGAGGCAGGGGTTGAGTCGCACACTTGAAGTTAAAACCCCTTTCTATGACAAGATGACCCTGAAATCTCTATGGCAAAGTTCTTACCGATGGATCAAATCCATTCCATTTGTGTCTTTTACATCATTTTTTTCTTTTTTTTCTTTATATGCATATGTCTCTGTGTGATGGATTGTGTGTGTGTGTGTGTGTATATATGTGTTTACATACATATATATATATATATATATTTTTTTTTTTTCTCTTTCTCTCTTTTTCAGATAAAGACAAAGGCCGTACCATTGACATGGACATTAGGATGACATTGGTGTCTCGTTTTCCGACAGATATGTGGACATTAGCCTGGAATTACTTCAAAGTGGAGTAGGATTCTATTTGGCTTGCATTGGTTGCTGTCACTGGCAGCCAGATGGTTGCTGAGATGAGACACTAGCCAGATCATTCATGAGCAAGAAAGGGTGGTAGCTTGATACATATAAAAAAAAAAAAAAAAAGCAGGGGGTGCTGGAAAGAGAAGTAGAAACAGGCACTTGGCAAGGATCAGATGTTTGCTTTTGCAGCATGATTTCTCTCCTTTTGTATAACTGAACAGCTGGACATTTTTATATGCATGCATACACAATATTGCATACCAGTAAGAATTGGTATTTTTGAGAAGAGGAATCGATATCTTAGCAGGGTATTATTTTTCTATATTTTATTCTTCAACCTAATCCTCTTGCCTGTGCTGTAACTGGACATCAGAAACTGGTAGTCTCTGAGCTTCATCCGATGAATGCAGTACGAATTTTCATTTATGCGTTTTCGTACAAATTATGAAGAAAATTACATTATTTCTTCATACGGTTCCGATAATAGATTACCAGTGAAAATACTTTTCATTAATAGATTAATGAACTCGTTCATGTAAAAACATTTCCCAGGTGACTCCACATTTTACACATGCAAACTCTCTTTCTCAGCTTTTAATAACTATCATTTTCTTTACTTCTGGAGACCATTTTAAGTTACATACTTGATGTATCCCTTGTTGGATAGTAGTCATAAGAATGAAAAACACATGCACTAAAAAAAAAAGTCACTTGACATTTAATTCACAAACACTTAACTCGGTTTTTCATGACTTCTTACAGATGAAGTGATGTCCAGTCATAGCCAAGAACCTATTGTCATTACCGAGTAATTAATTAGAGATAAGTATTTGTATTATGACTCCTGTATATGTTGTATGCTGCTACAATCAGCTCGGCTACCTCCCTCAAGATGAAGTAATGGGCTACAGGCAAGACTGTAACTTTACCAGCACATATATTTTTTCCCCAAGTATGGCACAGCATCATTGCTGGTTTAGTGATCTCTGTTTTGCCCCCTTCTCAGTCTTGCAGTGCAAAAGGAAACAAAAAGACGCCAGAACAATATTGAATGGATATGCAATGTTTCTTTGCCTGTGTCTATCCAGCCATAAAAGGTTGTTTTGATTTGTGGATCAAAACTATTTAGTATTAACAAATGAACCAACTAAAAAAAAAAAAAAAATGCATGTAGATATATCTTAATTAACAGTAAATTGGATTTAATGTTTACAAAGTGTTTTGTTATTTTTTTCTTTACTATTTCTCTTTATTGCTCTGTTTGTGGTTTTTTGTGTTTTCAGGTGGCATTTTTGAAATTTTGGGTTCAAAAACAGATTGGTGAAGTAATGGATAGTGGCTCAGATTGAGGAATTGGAGAGCTGAGCTCAAATTCCAGTCAAATCCAATACATTCACTTACATTGGGAAAGTTATGAATCTTCTTCTCCCACCAGCTATGGGTAAATAGCAGGACAAACTGGGTTCTATAGCCTTGGATGGCAGCTGGTCTACCGCAGAAAGAAATGGCAGCCTACTGTGTGAAAAAATCTGCCTCGTCAGTCATGTATCGAAGGATACATGATCGCTTAAGCGTGTATCACTGACTGATATATTCACATAATATATACAAAATATATGAAAACATTTAGGAGGAAGATCAAGGAAAATAAATATTACTCAGTGTAAAGTGGTAAATCAAAATGTATAACAAAGATAAAAACATAACAGCAAAAAAAAAGATTGATTCGTTTTGTACGGCTTAACTTTTTGCAGGTTATTTAAAGTCAGAAAATATTTTTAGATTGTAAGAATTTTTTTTTTTTTTGAGATAATAATGATTTAATCATACAAATTTTACTAATTAACCCATAGCTAGGGAAGAGAAGAGTTGGATTGCACATAATATTGAAACTTGGCTTTCCAATTCTGAGCCATTATCTCTTACACCATTAACATCCAAGCTTACATCACCTGATATGTCCAAGCAGTCGCTCATCTACGTACTGACTAGGCTCAATGTTTCTTAACCCCAGAAACTGTACAGGAATTTGTGTTTCAATGTGATATGGTCATTACCAGCAAAAAAAAAAAAAATATTTACACATAGGTGAAGAGGAAAAAACTACTATCAAAGAATAAACATGATGAATCACAAACAGATTATAATACGCAGCAACTATTCTTTAGAAATTGCTTAGATTTAATGTACGGGCTTTTGAACCCTTTCAGGCAGTCATATTTTCGAAATTATAAATATCTTCTATTTTGGAATATGCATTTTTTTCATATTGGAAGTTTCTAAACAATGTCTAAAAATAGTTTTCTATTTAAGTTCCTATTTACTCAGTCAATAAATTAAATCTGAATTTCTGGAATGAGGAGTTTTCACACTATTTACATTATTCGGACTATTGTCCTCATCTTTGTTGCCATATTTATTACAACACTCCGGCCTTCTTCAGGTGGTTGGAATGTCGAACTGAACCTTTTAGCGTGAGCGTACAACGGCCGAAACTTTGTGATAATTATGGCAACAAAGATGAGGACAGTAGTCCGATTAATGTAAATAGTGTACATAATACCTCATCTCAGAAAGATAGACAGATACTGGAGAAGTTTTCAATATTTATATGCGGACTATTGTCCCCATCATTGTTGTTATTATCCACCGTACCTGATGAGGTCTAGAGGGCATAATAGCTGAAACATGATAAGATGAGGACAATAATTGGTATGTAAATAATAAATTAAATCAGTTGGAAAATTATATTCAAAAGGAAACCATTGTCAAATACATCAACCTTGCTCTTATGTTAGTCATTTTATGATTTCCAACCTTAAAAGAATAACAAATTTGCAATCATTTTTTTCGTGTCAGTAAATGTGTGCATTTGTTTTTTTTAAATTGATAACTTTTCAACCTCTTTTTAATGTTATGCATGATTATTTGTGACTGTGGACAATATTTGGTTCTTGAAGAAATCTTCTGGAAAAAGCAATAATTCTAATAAATCTAACTTATGAATATTGTTCACTGACAGTGTGAATCCTGAATATCTTTTCAAAGAAACCTGCTGTTTACTTCTTGTATTTGACTTGCCTATATTCGCAAACTAGCTTACAAACTGCTCTATTAAGCGGCACTTAATCTAATTCATGCGGAGGGCTCTTGATTAGACGTTCGGCTTGTTCAGGAGTTTGAATCTTGCATATGCATTGGAATCTCTCCTAGCTGCTGTTTGATCTGGGTTTTCATTTGCTCGGGACTTTCTATTCCTCGCTGACAGCCTTGGCTCTTTGGATTGTAATCTGGTCCTTTGTTGGCGGGGATTTCTTTTTGCTAGGCATACTGCTGTCGTATGCGATAGGCAACGAACTACAGAACTCAAAATTGATCACTGCATTTAAGTATTGCATTAATATTTAAGCTTAACTTTTAAAAGTTCAACGATAATACTTCTACCGCCACTTAATTTAAAATAATTTGATGTACGTAGGTCCTTACTTTTCGTATGAACAATAATTTTTATTCCATGGATGACGTTCATTGGATTTCGCAGTTACTTTTGATTATTCCCAAATTTATTACCAAGTTATAAAAATTGTTATCGTACAAAAACATTCGTTGCAAAAATCACGTAAAAAAATCGCCGAAAACAATCGCAGTAATGAAAATTTGGGAATACAAAATTTTTGTAACATGAGCTATTAAAAGTTAGAGAATTGTGTCCCTTTAATTGAAAAAGCGTGACACACTGACATTCGCATTTATTATATAGATTATCTGCAGCAAAAGAGAGGAAGTATTCTTCTTTAAAATTAATGAAGTATAAACAAAACAGAACACAAATACGATCTCTGCCTCCTTCCCCATCACCTTTTAATAAGCTGGCATATCATAAAAAAGAACTTTTTTGTGCGTGTTTGGGGGTGGGGGGTTATATACCTCATATAAACTCTATTTTCTTAAATATTTTTCCGTTAACCTTTCGGTCAATTTTTTTAAAATTGTTTTTGGTCCCCCATAGTTGCCGTATTAATTTCTCTTCTCTTTTCACGTGGAGTAAATTGATTTTAAGACACTAGTTTCAAGAAGGCGAAAAACACCAATTCCCTTACGATCATGGAAGTTAAGCAACATCGAGCCTGGTCAGTACCTAGATGGATGATCGCTTGGGGATACCAGGTTCCGTAAGTTTGGATGTGCAGGTGGTGTAATAGATAATAGCTTCGAATTTAAAATCGGAGTGCTGAGTTCCAATTCAAGTTGGGTCCGTTATATTCACTTATGCACAAAAACCTTTGGGAACTATATGAATCCATTCTTCTCCTCCCAACTATGGGTTAATTATTAAAACTTGTATCATTAAATCATTATCACAAAATATTTTTTGGCTTTAAATAACCTGCAAAGAGTTGATAAGCCATAGAAAACGAGTCGATCATAATTTCAGCCTCTCTAAGAAAAATGTTTTTTTTTGTTTTTGTTCAGAAATGTTCAAATCAAATGTTGGTCATCTACACTCAGATTTCCAAATAAAATTTGTCTTCAGATAAATTTTTTTTGCCTAAATAAAAATCGTATTTGTTTTAACTTTTCTATTTGTAAGTTTATTAACAATTCTATCAAAGTACATTTTTGAAATCAATAATTATATGGTAAAATGTTAAAAAACATTTAAATTAATAAACAACCCAAAAGCAAAACTGAATAGAAAATCTTCAGCGAATGAAATTTTTCTGTTAAAATAGGAATCTTTACATCTTTGACAAAAAATATGTCTATTTGGCAAGTGTCCATCTATCAAACATCGATTATTATTAACTTGTATCACCAACCCTATTATGCTTATTCAGTTTTTAAATTTTCTTTTGTAGGCATCAGCTTCTTTCATTTCATGAGACTTCACAAGTAATGAAATTTGTTTTATAAAACAAATTCCGGCACAAATTAACTGCACTATTCTTTAATTTTAGTATCATAAAAGAATAAAAAAAATGCAAATAAAATCGAATTAAAACAAAGTATATATATATATTAGACTGACTCAGAATCAATATGCTTACAGTTTGACTGCACTACAAGTAGCAGATTGTGCAACTTTTGAGAGGTCGGTGCTACTAAATTGATTTTTATTTGCAATTGAATCTGGTTTATTTTGAAAGTAACCCCCAAAAAGCCGCTCATTGTCAGTGTTACCAGATTGGACGACTTAAGTTGGTAACAGTCTGAATTATTAAGTGTTAATTAAAATTTTATGACTTTTGAACTGTTTTAAATTGCGGCATACAGTGCAAACAAGACTTAACGAAAATCCAGATGCCAGCTCATCGGCTTTGACATACTTCCAACCATAATATATTTGAGGTGCATTTCTTTTTCTTTTATTTTGAATGACTCCGTCATCTGTTAGCTTGAAGAAGAAAGAAAATGTAAGGACACGATGTAAATTTCTGTGCGCCACGATACAGACATCTAAGGACGATCGGTTGAGTCTGTTGACAGCGTCGTCATACTCACAGGTGCTGCTTTGGTGTTAATAGCAAGATTTAAATTCAGTTCACCTAGACTGATCGCCAAGGGTAGAGAGACCAGCCTGTCCTGGGGGAGATGGCTGCATCATTTAAAAGTAAAAATGGAATTGGAACTCGATTTGCTGAGACCACTTTCCACTGTTGTTATATGGGTCCACATATGAAGATGAGGTGATATTTAAAATGATCTACTACATAAATAGCAATACTCCCAAAAGTGGAATCACACTTAACCTACGATGTTTTGAAAGAGTTAATGGATTCCTATTTGATTACTGAATGTTTGCTCAATCTTGCCGGATTATTTTTAATATTTTGAGGTTTTGTAGCAAATCTGTCGGTAAGTCTAAGTAATGTAGCGGTTATCAGCAAAGAAAGGGAAATGAGAGAAGCAAGTTCAAATTCCGGACTAGTCTTTTATATTTCCTGGGAAAAAGTATGAATGCATTTGTTTACCCAGCTATAGTTTAAATAGGGTAGACTAGGGTCGCTAGTTTTGAGTGGCAACACGTCTAAGAGAAGGAATATTTTGAATTCAAACCGTGGAGAATGCGACGTGTGTCTTTTTTCAAGGATGCATTGCAATTCATAGAGAATTAATCAAAGGAAACTGTGGAGAGCCATCGCCTACGCCTTGGAGGGACGTGGCATTAAAAAAAGTTTCTGTTATAAAAATTTTAGCAGCGTTCTTTCATCGAACACCCAAAACCTAGAAACATTAGTCCAACATGCTAGACATTGTGCTAAGGATATTATATATATATATATATATATATATATATATATATATATATATATATATATATATATATATACCATAAATATCGAACATATTGCTACGGTTGGTTAAAAAAATTGGCGTCTTTACCGGTAGAATGAGTGACCCCCATGCCATAACACCCGCCCCAAAACCTCGTCGGGCAATTTGCCTGGATCCGCAGTCTTTACGTGATCGACAGATGGGAAGGAAGTCGTCCGCATTGCAACCCAGAGTTTTTCGCCGCAGGCCAATTTCATGAACGCTTGTCACTATTCAGTTTGGTTTTTAGTTGCGACAGACGATTGCATTTCGACAGGGAATCGCTTGCACGGAAGACGATCGTGCTGTCGATGCTGCTGTTTGAACGCGCACCCTACGATCACTTTGTGCATTCAATGGCGACAATCAGCCACCCACTGGGCTATTGACAGGCTATCTTGCCGCAGGAGTAGAAGAAAAGTGCGTACTTAAAGATGCCTCCGTTTCTAAGGGAAGTTCGATGTCTCAATTACGATCGGACACTATTCCACGTAATAGTTTTTCTTTTAAATAAAGTTTATAAAAGTCGACCTTTAGGTTAGTCTGCTGTGTTACAATGCTTTTATTTATGTATTTTATAGACATTCGAATGGATGTCTATAAAAAAAATACATGTGGTGCCATAATGTTTTAATGATGATCTTTGTTAACGAAGCTTGGTATGTTAAGTGTTGTTGTTATTTAGCAATTTTATTTCATTTACAAATAATTTGTGTCTATTACTTGTCCGTGGAATTACAGTTTGAATCTGTGTTTCTCAACCGGTGTTCCCCGAAACCTTAGGGTTCCGCTAGAAACTGATGGACTAATGCATTTTTTGAGTAATTTGTTTTATTTTATTTGTAATTTTACGATATACGTAAGGCATGTTGTTGGAAAATTATTATTATTATTATTATTATTTTATTTTTTTTTTAAATAAAGAATGGATTTAGCGATATCTATATGACGTTAGTGTGAAATCGCCTTCGCTGGTTAATGGACAAGACCTGTAGTGGTCGGAATCGTGTATCAGTGACTGACTCATTCCAGCGTGTACAACTATAAAATAAAGGAGAGATAGATATTGATAATGGTTCAGTGTAACCCGGATATAAGAGAGTTGTCGGGACCGGAGAAGAAGTCTCTTATATCCGGGTTTCTCTTATATCCGGGTTTGGTCTATTTTATATACATTAACACAGGCTCTAATTTGGGACCAGAGAAAATCTCTCTTATATCCGGGTTACACTGTATATGATAATTTCATGTGGGGTATACCCGAGAGATGAAAACTATTTTAAGGGTTCTATAAGGGTAAAAAGGTTAAGTCACACTGGTTTGAATAGTTGTGATGAAAGAAAAGTAGTGGAAAAAACTAATAACTGTTGACAAACATTGGTGATAAAATTAAACTTTTTCGTTGATGATAATTAAGAGAATGCGTGAGAGTTTTAATGTTATTTTATTTATCTCAAATATTCTCCCCAAGCAAGGCGATAAAGCCACTAAGGCACAAGAGGTTACTGAGAGTGAAGGAAACTGAGAAAATGTTTGAGGAGAAAGGATAATAAAAAGAACAGAATTCAAAGTGACGATGGACGTTGCATGTAAATTTTTGAAGATCGTAGTTGACAGAGAAGCAAGAAGAGACTATCAGAATAGAAGTTACGGTTACATTTGACAATTACGACAATAAAATGATGAGACCTATCTGCCAATTTAGTACTACGTTTAAATTTATGAATTCACAGTATCGAAGAAAAGTCATACTCGGGTTTTATGACGAGAAAATGTATACATGTTATTATCAAAATGCATTTTGTAACATTTGAGAGGGAAATGTTAATTTTTTTATATAACATTACTCAAGCTGTAAATAACTCTTCATCCTAGAAATTCAGACAGAAATTAATGAGTTATTAAAATTTGACTCTGCTTTTCTTGATAGAGAACCATTTTGAATGATACGAAGTAAAGATGGAATTGAACTTATTAACCAATCGTAACGAGGCTCTCTCCACCACAAAATTTTACACATCACACACACACACACACACACACACACACATCCGAAAACGGGTTGTATGATGAGAAAAATGTATACTTATTACTTTCGAAAATTTTCATTATCAAAATGCATTTTGTAGCATTTTTTTTTATAACCATTAGTGTTTTTTAATCAACAATTTTTTTAACAAATTCGATGTTATTTTTTATAACTAAAACCTAGAATATTTCGTGGGTATATGTGTTTGAGGAGATATCCATTTTTTTTCTTTTATTTATACAGGGAAACTTACTGAAGATAGTTTCCCAGGATAAAAGGCATGCACGTTCAAACCCTTCCGAGAGGGCATGTTCTTTAATAAGACTTTCAATTACTCAAGCCGGTATGTGGGGGGGGGGGGAATAAATATTCGTACACTTGAAAAATTGTATTTTTATAAATGTAAAAGCCTTAAATAAAACAAATACACATACTATTAAAAATAATGATACACTTAATTAATTCTTATTCTGACAGAAATTAATGCATTTTTTCAATTCTAATTGGTGAAAAAAGTATTCGTACAAATCAATTATTAGAATAAAATAATCAATTAATTATGAAAAATATTCTAGACTGTTCCAGTAATGTTATCAGTAATTATAGTTAACGCTATTAGCCATTATCAGAGAATTCTGCAATTTCTAGTCTTACGAGAAGGTTCTAATAATGCCTAAAGGTAAAGAATTGACTGTTTCACAAAAACAACACATTTTGTCTCTTTGCGAAGAAGAGAACAGTTACAGAACGATTTCTAACAACCTGAATATTCCTTTTACTACAATTGCTTCATTCATTGCAAGGTTTAAAATTCGTAACAGCGTCGAAAAC